ATCTTTAACTTTCTGTCCATAACAGGAAGAAGCCACAGATGAAATTGTTATAAAGGCTATGGGAAGGGCTATCAACAAGACAGTGGCCATTGTGGAGCTTCTCAAGGTAGACCTGATTCAGATTGCTAGTAAATACTTACTACACCTTGCAGTTAAACCAAGTTAACATTTTCAAGCCATGTCTAAGCAGAGAAGGATTGCTGGTCTCCATCAGAATAACTCCATCGAATCAATCAATATAACTGACACTTGGGAGCCGTTGGAAGAAGGCCTGAATGTGTAAGAAGCACTGGATTTATTTGCATAGTGTAAGTACTTCCAGCTTTTGATGTACAGTGTGTTTCTGACAGAATTCTTGTATGACTTCTTGGCAGACTTGAGACTACTCGCCATGTTTCCTTGATTACCATTACCTTGTCAAAGAAAGAGCTGGATACATCGTCTCCTGGGTTAGTAGCATCATCCTTTTCCTTTTTTGTATGTCTGATCAATACTTGGTGGGGAGTTGTAACCTGCATATAGTTTCTCACATGCCATGGAATTTATTTCTGCGATGGTTTGTTATATCATGACATGGCTCTGCCTCTGTTTTTGTTATGTTTTCTCATTTGGCAAGCGCATGCTCACTTGTATATAAGGACTGGAGAGAGTTTGCAATCGCTTATAACTTCAAATATTTATGTAGGAATTTTTTGCCTGGCACGCCTTTTGCCTAGTTTAGAAACAATCCTGGTTTTGTCTGTTAAATAGGGCTATGCACAATTTTACTTTGGGGATTCATCTCTTTGACAGATTTGTAATACGGCTTTGAATTCTGCAGTTACCAGCTACCGATACCAGTTGATCAGGTCAGGCCACCAACAGAATTTGATCAGGATGCAGAGGATGTGCCAAGTGGCCGTGGAAGAGGCCGTGGTCGCCGGGGAAGGGGCAGGGGAAGAGGTAAATATCTGCCTGTTTACACTGTATATTGTAAGTTAAGTTAACTATGGGTTTTGCTCATGTTGTTTTATTCCTAATTGTTCTTTACATTTGGGCCATTGTGATATAGGAGGGTTCAGTGATGGAGGGGCAGATTATGATGATGAGAATGGAGACATGGAAGGTCCACAGGGATATCGTGGCAGAGGGAGAGGAAGGGGTAGGCGTGGGTCCTTTGGGCCTGGAAGGGGTTATGGTGGTGATGGCTATGGCTATGTAAATGAAGAAGCTGGTGGGTATCATGGCATGGAGCATAATGGACCTCCTGTGCAAGGATATGGTTAGTTCTGTTTAAATTTTCTACTAACAGCCCTCAGTTTTTAATCTTGCCCCCAGTTTTTATCACTTCACCACTTAATTAGAGATGTGCAGAACCACAGATAATATTTAAATTCTCAATGTGATGTATTGTGCTTTGACTGTAGAAAGAAGTGATGATATTATAAATTGGCATTCCTTTGAATAATTCTTTTCTAGTTGCCTCTCTGAATTTGGGTTTAATCACCACTAAGCAATGTTATCTTGTGAATCTCCTGTGCAGAAGGTGATGGAGGAAGTGGCCGTGGCCGTGGCCGTGGCCGTGGCCGCGGACGCGGACGCGGACGCGGTGGGGGTCGTGGCCGTGGACCATTCCCCCAAGGACCTCCTCAAGAGTAGATTGGCTGGCCCATCGACTGAATGCGACGAGTCTCATCTTTGCTAGTAGATTATAATGGCTGTTGTATCTGGTTAGGTTTATGTTTAAAGTTGATAGAGTGACTCTCAGTGTGGGGGGATGAGACTAGTTATGATTTTGTAGCTAGGTTAATTCTTCCATTTGCTTTCATATACCAGACCTGGTTATCATTCCAACTGTGAATTGTAGCATCCTGAACGTGTTCATCATCAAATCTAGCTCAGAAAATTTGTTTATGATTGTTGATGACCATCGTTTTATTTGTTTCTGATTCTGATTTTGATCCGAGCATGGCAGCTGGAATCAGTTTGCTCGGTGTGCTGACGATTTGGCAAGGCTTGTTAAGGATTTGTGGGCTTGGGTACACATGAAAAACATATAAATTACTCCTGCCTTTTTTTTTGCGAAATACGGTTTGCTCTGCCTACGATCTCCTCTTTGGGAATTCAAAGGAATGTTTGCAGCCTATTTTTTTTACCCGGCCTCTGCGTCAAGGGCACATAGCCATCTTTATTGCATTATTATTCAAGACTTTACAAAAACAAATAAAATATACATACATACAAGGTTGATGATGTGCACTGTCCCCGCACCATGCACAATAAGAATAGCCATCTTTATTGCATATTCAAGACTTTACAAAAACAAATAAAATATACATACCTACAAGGTTGATGATGTGCACTGTCCCCACGCCGCACACAACAAGAAATCCGGTGGCTGCACGCCGGCTAGCCGCGAGCACCAACCAGCCATGGATCTAGAAGCATGCGAGACCAATGCCCGGCCATGGATCTAGGATTTGTAACGACCTC